TTGGGTGGTTTCGGCACTACAAAGAAAATGGTCCTACGCTGCGCGTCTCTCAAGAAGGTCCCCTCAAGACTTGGCTCGGAGTAGCAATGACTGGACACACAGAACAAAAGAGGTCTCGGACGCCCCAGACAAAGATGGCATGGGGACGAACTTCGCGTTTACATGGGCAAGGACCTAACATGGACCTGAAAGATGGACGACATTATTCACCGCTGCCGGTTCCTCGAGAATCTTCGCACAAATGATCAAAAACACTCTATTTGGTCTGTGCGATAAAGAATAAAGTATAAAGAAGAGCTGATAATAAGGACAGTATGTTAAGGTGACGACTGGAAGCATACGGACCAACAGAGCTCATGTGACTGCTCTCTGCCCCACCCCTTCATAAGTTGAGAGTACTGGGTCGTACTGGAGAAAAGAAGTTGTATGATGCTCCATTTTTTAACAGCACAATCGCGTGCCGTGACTGCCAAAACACCCTACGTGGTCCTCGATTATTCGAATCTGACAGTGAGGTTGCCCTTTGAAGAAAACCTTCAGACGGCGTGTGAAAAAAAAAAGGAAGGGACTGGCTGCTTGCTCAATGTAAACTGGTTGCTTGCTCGAAGTAATACATTTCGCGATTCTCTCTTTTTGCGAGTCAACTTGTATTTTAGACTCTGTCTTCAGAAGATAGATTGGTCGTAATTGCGTACTAGTGCAGGTGGCTTTTAGAAGTGGGCTTTCGGTAGTTCCTGACAAGAGATTCCGATGTTCGCACTTGGAAACTAATAATTCTCGATCAACTAAACTAGCTTGAAGAGTCGAGTCTCATTAGAAAGGAAAAAATTGACTGCGTGCCCGCACTCCATGATTCCGCAATTAGACCCTTCACACGGATACAGAGGTGTAATTAATAGCATTCTCAGGAACGAGGCACGCATATGTTTGACAGATCCCGCATAATTTATTCTCCCCTTGGAGTGAAACCGCTCAGCCTCGATATCTAACAGACAGGGAATAGTCCAGATCCGAGAACAGCGTCCTTGCAATCACATCAACAGGGTTCTTGCATTCAGTGCCGATGGCGCTTCGAATCTGAAAGTGAGATTACACGGAGGCGGAGGGAATGTAGCACATCTGTGATACCCAACCTTGTCGTGGATAGCTAGAAATCCTCTTGGCGGTTCCGCATCAGCATTCCATCCCATGATACAGTACGCCTTCAGTTTTGTTTTATTTATAGCGAATTCGCGAACAACAAATCCTTCGCCTAAAAGAGGAAGTCTAGGAAATTGCGAAGGGTAGTGATCAACAATAGAAGCTTTTCGAACTTTCATCCCCTTTTTCGACGTTCACTGTTACTCCTCCATAGGTACCATTTTCTGCGAACAAGTACCTGAAAGATGGTGCTATTGCCAACATCAGCACGTCGTGGGCCGAAACCCTTTCAAGGATCACCACCAAGCAGGGTCGTATATGCTCTGAGAAAAATGTTTTCGGCTGTTTACCTTTTTCGAATTTTACTGATGCGCTACGCTATATTCCCTCTCCACCTGCTCGATGGCAGTTTGCTAGAAAATTCTGTTCTGCGCAATATATTAAATACTTCTTGAAATTAGGTCCCACTGTTACTGCGACGGGCGCTATGAATCTCATGACAAACAGACAGACAGACAGACAGATAGACAGACAGGAGGAGGAGGACACACTCATATCGGCAGTGAGTATGCCGTTCGGCAATTGTGCTAAAGTCTGCCGACTCGTAAAACCCCTCCGAGGTGATGAGGAAGTCGTGAGGAGAAAGCTAGTGCTAACAAAAATGAGAACAGAAATGAGAATGAACAAAACAAAATCGGTGTTGTGGTAGCAATCTAATTGTAAGACTGTGCTCAAACTTTGCGATCGCGCGATTGGATCGCTTGGCTGAGTCGCGCAATCACGATCGGGGGCGCTCTACCTCCAGGCAGTGTGCTGGCGCAAGGCAGAATTCAAGTTGGGCCGCGTTCACACAAAACCTATTTGAATTGTGCCGTTGCGGCGGTGCACCGTTTGGCGGTGGAGCGCCCCGGTCATAGTCGCCAGCGACAGCTGAACCAGGGCACAGCATTCGATGGGGATTTTGGTCGAGCCTGTACGACCCCCCCCCTTTTTTTGGGGGTTCGGTACGACCCCCCCCCCCTTTTTTTGCCGTTCGGTTTTTTTTTTCGCCTTAAATGAAACTATGAAACGCCCACTATGAAATTCTACTTGTATGAAGGTGCCCATACTAAATGGACGACTTGAAGTCATGACATAATAGAACAATACAGAGATGATTGCAAACAAAAAAACGGTACAATCGTATTATGAGAAAACTCGTTAGGGAATGAAACTTCTTCGATGGCCGTTTTGAAACACACATGGTAATAATAACGATATATCGCGATTAAATTCAATGAGCATTCGTTAACCTGACGTGAACTCCCTCTCTGGGAGCGGCCATCAGCGACCACAGTGTTAACAACGTCTATTCCCAAGATTGAGGACGAGGAAAAGAGAAAGTTAGGCTTGTCTCACTACGTAACAGTTATACAAACCGCCGTAAAAATGCATTACCCCGATTATTGGAGTACGGTAGCAGAAGCGCATGTAATTGCAGATGTGACCGCAGATCGTTCGGCAATTTTAGCCATGGAGCGAGAATTTTCAGCAAAGTAGGGTGTCTTTGAAGGACCATAACTTCCTCAAAAGCGGACCTGTGGGGAAGAGGAGACCGTATTCGTGTAGAGGAAGGATTGCACTTCCTAAATGTACTGAAACGTTTATGAAGGTCGTCCGCAAAAACCACAGAGAAATCTGCCCATAGGGATTCCATGGGGAGTGAAGGGTTGAAGTTTAAGTTGAACAGGTTTGAACCAATATATTTTTTTTGTAACTCAACATTTCACAAATCTGAGAACGGATCCGAGTGTTTGAAGATTTTCTCTTTCTGAAAACCTCTTGAACTGTTTCTGAAGCTCTCGGGATTCATGAGATCTCGCTATGGGGATTTCTTGAGGAACACTCCCAGCTGCGCGAAAAACCCGTTTCCTGTGTACCGTTCCAAGTGAGCGTGTTCGAATAGCCAGGAACGCATGTAGAACGTATCCTGTGGTGGAGCAGGAGCAGGATATGGTTCGTTTAGCGCCGATCACGCCAACTTTGGATGCGCCGCGCACTGAGGGCCGCGCAGAGGTGATGGGATGGTGCAACTTGTGCGTAATGTCTGTTCACGCGAGCAAATGTGTCTATAAGGTTCAGGGAGGTCCATGGCGAGCCTGTGCACTTGTTTACAGTGTTTTCCGTTGCGTATGATGGAACATGTCCCTGTCAACGCTGCCAGATTCGTGCTCCACCAATCGCTGACTCCGATAAAGGAGACCAACTGCTGGAAAACGTCTGATATGAACGATATGGTAGTCCTGTCGCTTGTCGAGAAAAAAACAGGTTGGCTCAGCGCCAAGCGTGACCGCGGACACGCCATATCATTGGCAGCGAACCAGAGTTTGACTGTTTGTACTGTTTAGTCCAACGGACCTACGAGATGATGTCGACTTATTAATATTTGCAGTTATTTCGGATTAGTTTGATGAATGAAAGTTTTGTACTATTTTTTTGCATATCCGAGTCTCTACAAAGCAAGTTTCGTTGTACAGGACTCAGCACATTGACAATTTGCGCTGGTCGTTACTGGCTGCCGCACTCACTACGACCCCCCTCTCCTGGCGGCCAAATACGACCCCCTGTTGGGGAGAGTCCCCCACACCAACGATGTGCCATGGTCTGAGCGTGGTCTGATGTGACGCTTGATAGAGCACCCTCTGCTGCACACACAACGGCGTAACCCGGTTCGGTCTGTAGGCCCGTCTGCCCGTTGCTGGCCCTTCTCAGGAGAGAGAGAGAAGAGAGAGAGAGAGTGTGTGTGTGTGTGTGTGTGTGTGTGTGTGTGTGTGTGTGTGTGTGTGTGTGTGTGTGTGTGTGTGTGTGTGTGTGTGTGTGTGTGTGTGTGTGTGTGTGTGTGTGTGTGTGTGTGTGTGTGTGTGTGTGTGTGTGTGTGTGTGTGTTGTGTGTGTGTTGTTTGTGTGTGTGTGTGTTGTGTTCTGCCTGTCTTCCTCGGCTGGTTGGTTGGCTGGCGCTGGCTGGCAATCACTACTAGACAGCAAAAGTTGCGGAGCTGACACGGAAGTTGCCGTAACAATTTAACGACGATTACTATTACATCCTCGTCTAGTTGTCATCTTGCCTAAGTAAAATGATGCCCAGTCTACCAGTTGTCTCTTCTCAGTTAGAGCATTACTGTCCAAGTGCTGTGTATGGTGTGTGGCGGGTAGGGCAGGGGGTGAGCGAGTGGTGTGACTGGTTTGTGTAGATCTGTAGAGTGTATGAAGAGGTGAGAAGGTGTGCGAAGAATCAGAGCTGAGATCGAGACCTCGGAACTGTCCTATGCATTCGACAATCTGGCCAGTATCATCCGAGGAGTATTTGCCATGCAGAATAACAGTATGAGGATATTTGCCATGCATGAACGACCGATATAATGGCTTGCATGAGCTAGTGATCAGGCAAGAATGTGATATCCTTCAAAACGATTCCCGTTCTCATCGAGTCGCAGGGAAGGACTGCTGACCAACATTGCGTCCATGAGTCACACCAGAAGTGACTGCTACACTTGCCGCTACCCTGGTTTCAGCTCTGTGGCAGTTCTTTCATGGTTACAGGTCTCAGAATGCATCTGCGGTATCAAAGTTTGTCAGGCGAATGAATCTGGAGTTGGAGCTGCTACATCAGAGGTGATTGGTTCGAGCGGATCAGATTTTCCAAAAGTTTTACCAAACGTCAGGAGCAGCTCGCTTAGGGAACCAGACACTGTTTCGGTTGGGTAAAAAATGCTCTGTGCGCAGGATGTTCCTTGACAATCTCTGCAGAGGGCAATGCACTAGAATAAAAATCTCTTTGTTTTCAATTATGTCTGTCGCTGCACCCTTCATCTTTTTGCCGTTCTAATGAAATGTAAATTCGTACTTATAATCTGTATTTTTAGGATCGTCCATGACCACCATTGCTTCGAGCTCTAACTGGCTGACCATTCGAAAGAAATCCGCTTGTGTTGCAGCGTCGAACGGTGCTTGAGACATGATGTACTGGTCTGAAATCACCCTCATTGATCGAGCAATGATAGGCAATGGTAGATGTGCAAGTCTTTTTACCCTGCCCGAGAAGTTCGGACCCAACGGACGAACTCACAAGCACTGGGGAAGTGATTCTTCTGGGTGTGGTACGATATATGGTTTGAACCGCCGACTATGCAGTAGAGAGGTAACGTCACTCAGCATTGCCTCATTTTCGCTCAACTGTGGATCAAGAACTCCCACTTACGACCACACGTCGAGTTGATTCACGTGAGTATAAGTACACGACGAGGTGACTCGGAAAGCGCCTTATTTCCTTGCTAGTTGAAGACAACTCAGCAAAATGTTTTACGGGAGCTTCCTTGCACGGTTACGTGACATCTTGCACTGTTTGTGCATGCCTGTCGCGAAACGCAGACAGATAGAAGATAGCGCCTGCCAAAGCATCGAGACGTGCAAGAAACTATGGCAAGCCAGGAAACGAGCTTTTTCAAGGGGAGGGGACTCCGGGGTGGGTGAGCCACTTATCATACGTGAAAAGCTGGAATGTGCGAAGTCACAATGACCATAGAGTGCCACGCGGACGAGAGAGAGCAGAGAAAAAACACAAATTCGACGCGTTCAAAGGAACTGAGTTCAAATTGACCATAGAGCTCCCTTGTACATGGTGGGAGGAAAGTGTTTTCAGTTTCTTGAGGCGACTTTTGTATGAATTGCCAGGCGTTGTCCGACTCAACGAGGGTTGGGACTACTTTGCACTTTTCCTAGTTCCTTTTGTCAGTTGATGTTAGCTGACAGTTCTCGTTTTATTGAGACCGTAAACCCTTGTGAAGTTGCTAACTAGGGGGAAACGCTGAATAAGTAGTTAACGAGTCAAGACAAGGAGACCTGCACAAGCTTCACTGATACCATCGGATGCCCCCACCAATCAGCACTAGCATACCAGAGTCAGAATAATTGAACTAATAGCTGATTCTTGAGTTTAGTAGTGCACAACGTACTCCTCTTGAAAGCTCCGTCGACATAAGAGGCATGATAGTAATCACCGCTGCCGCCAGTAAGCACCACTCGGTTATAGTCGTAGAGAAAAACCACTAAAATGTCGTAGTAGTCAGTCAGGTATGTCAAAAAAGCGCAGTAGAAGATACACCAACCGTTTGGTTTGAAATTTTTAGACTGATTTTCTTTTTTAAAGTAGGCAAAGAATGTTGGCGACTCCTTGATAAACTCTCGATGAGCCTCCATCACACCTTCTCCGAGCTTTTTCGATGAAATGCGTGAGGTTAACTACAACAAAGGATATTTGAAAGCTGTCTTGGTGTCGTGGCATACTCCATGCGTTCGACTTTGCTATTCTGCTACATAAAATCCCTCTATTCTGTGATGGTGTGTCGTTCTACTTCAAACCACTGTGCTGTTGGAGGCATGGCCATACTCTTCATCCGAACGTGGAGGCGCCTGCACACTTGGTGATAATTTTATTTTGGGACAATTGAAATTATGTATCTGTTCAATACAAGGCAGAAAAATTGTCTCCAGTTGAATTGTCGCGCGAATAGCTCATCCTACGCCCTGCTCCAGGGGAGTGCGCAGCAACGCCTTCCACCTCCCAGGAATGGGCAGCTTATATGTGTTTCTGAGTTTGACTGGAAGAGGAGGAAGACCTCGGGTTCAAGAACTGATATGGAGGATGGGATGGGAGCACTTTTGGTGGGTGGCAGGAAGTGATAACAGCTGATATAATTCGATATGAAACTTTAGAAGAAAAGGGTCAGCACATTCACAGCGAGATTCTCAGCAGTACCGGGAAGATGGTTCCAGTAAGTAATATACATGGCGGGCAAAAAAAAAAGACATTTCGACCGAGTCAGGTGAGTGCAGCAGAGAGGCTTTGCGGAGGGCGCGAGAGCAGCGGGCCGGTGGGATACGAGAGTACCGATGCCGGAAGATACCCAAGATATTCCTCGACATATTCCTCGATACGAGCGAGGAGCTGCCTCTCGCTCATTCCACTATCATGTACACCAAAAATATGAGTCATCTCCAGTAGGCAAGACCTGACTGGAATTCATTTGCTTACCCTGCGATAAGTCCAAACAGCCGCGAGACTTCTAGTATGGAGTGCACCCATGGATAACTACACTGGAGAGCAGTGCTCTTGATGCTGGAAATGAATCCGAACATGCGAGCAGCGGTCGCTGCTGAACGCCGGCTACGTCTCTAGGACATCATCGTTCCCACTTCAAGCATACAGTCGCCGAAGGCGCCAGTTGATGTGTGAACCGGGACATGTACAGCCTGAATATGGCAAGAGATATTTTCTTCGTGGACCCCGGACTGAAGGTGAGCGCTGGCGGTTACATCGAGCAACTCGAGAAGAATATCCTCCCCACATGTCGTCGCCCGTACCTTCTTGGAAACTTTGTACTGCTACAGGATTGGGTGCCACCACATGGAATCGAAGGGCGTTGGAGAAACTCTCGCCTACTTGGAATGGAAGGGCGTTGAGTACCTGAAAGGAAGGTGGAATGTCTAAGCAGGTCATCGTGACTAAGCCACCTACAGTGCGGAGAAATCAACTTACTAAACTAAACCAAACTTAGGTACCTCAGCACACGGTCCGCGTGGCAGAATCTCTCGATGGCCCTCTTCGCTATGGCGGAGTAATGGTGATATGTATTAGGTTGTTCGAAAAGTCCTGCGACACTTTGACCAAATTTTTCGAACTAAATTTCTGGTCAGTAAAGGACATCTCCAATCTACAAGGTAACCGCAGTTGATGAGGAGCTAGGACTTGAGGGTGTTCCTGTATATGTCGTGATTGGTTGCAGCAGAGCTTCTCATTTCCATTCTCATAGAACTACGGCAACTGTGGTAAAAAGAAGAGGTGGACCTCATTCTCGAGTTGAGGTTGATTTTCGGAACTTTTGCTTTTGTGAAGGATGCGATAGTGACCAAAGGAGGTGGTAATTAGAGGCTGCTAACTTTGTTAAATAACCTGAGTACGGTCGCATTCTCTGATCGAAATCCATGATCTTTTGGCGTAGCCTGATCCCCACATGCGGTCTCGCATTGCCGAGTAGTAGAGAAAAATTGAGTATTTCTGAATGAATTCAAGCGTGACGTCATCCATATTTTGAAGTCGATTAAGGTGGACTGTGATCCTTACAACGGTGCTGGTATCCAGTGATACCGCTTGAAGTCCCACCAATAACACACTGAAATCTTTATCCCATGC